CAATTCAGTGAATAAGACAGGGTGAGTGCCCAGCAAAAGCCTCATCAGGAAGAATCCCCTAGACTCTACTCACTCAAAACATTCCCTGACAGAGGGTGGATTTTTCACAGACCCTCCAAGTGTCCCTATTTTCCAGAGACAGTCATAGATTTACAGAAGCCGCCCCAGTTTCTGATTTGATCCTGGAATATCCTGCCTTCCCCTATTTTCATCAGAGAAATATTGGAGGGTATGGAATAGGACATCCCCGGGGCTTTGTTTCAGCTGGAACTCACCAGAACTCAGTTCTGGCACCTCTTTGGTGAGTGCCATTGCCATTATAAGAGAACAAGGCAGGCGTTCATGGTGAGTTCCAGCACCTCTTTTTCTAGAAAAATAGCACTGGACGTCCCTATTTTCATCAGAGAAATGTTGGAGAGTATGTTTTCACGATCATAAGACTGCTGCTGAAGCACCCTTGATGGGCTTTGGCTTCTCTCACTGCACCACCAAGCAGGACAACCTTGCCACCAATTGTATAAAAGTTCTTCTTTTGTTTCCTTTCTTTCTGCACAATGTCTCAATAGCCTGCTTAGTAGAAAGAAGTGGTGGGTGGGGTAGGGTGGGGAAGTGAAATATTTATTCCTTTCATTCTTTTTCCCATGGCTGTGTTCAAGGAGATGTTCAAAAGGTTAAGCCAGGTCAAGCCCTGCCCCGGAAACCAGCATTCACTGTCTGTTCCCATTTTATCTCTGAGCTGTCTGTCTGACCACACTGAATGCCCCTGCCCCTCTGTATGCCTTTGCCTAAAATGGTATTTGACAAGACCTGTGGCCATTGCCAGTTGTCTCCCTGGGGCGGTGCCAACCTTGGGGTCCCAGAGCTCCAGGAGGGCACCACTGCCGCTAATACCTGCCCTGAGCTGTCTGTGCCAGGCAGCTGAGCCTGTGCAGCCACCATTTTAAATTTCCCAGAGTGTCCAATCTAAGGCTGCCCTGAAGCATTGTGGGACATTTAAAGTGATGGCTTCCCAGCAGCCCACCATGTGTAAACTTTTAGCTGGGGCAGGGGTTGCTGCAGGAGCTTGGACCTGAGGTTTTGTTTTTTTTACGTTACTCTTACATTATTTCTGTCTGTCTCTATCCTGGCTGCTATCCACAGTTTGGTCAATATCCCTTTACGATGCTTTGTGTGCAATGGAAGGGATAAGTCATGTGGTCTTGACTGTTTGTCATTTTAAAATGTGAATAAGCTGATTTTCTGCTTAAAAGTAGCAGCAGCATCCAAAGCAGCTCCCAAGGTTACAGTAAAATGTAAGAGGTTCTGAAGAAGCCTGAAAATTACAGTAAGAAACAATAGGGAAGTTTCATAAAGCAGTAAATTGTCCAAAAGGTTTCCAAAGAAAACCTTCTCAGGGGCAGAGGAAGTTGTTTTGACAAGATATTGTTAGAATAAAAGAAATGGGCTTCCCAGAATAACCCAGCAAAATGAACTCTCATACTTCAGATGAAGGCTTGTTAGGCAATTTGCCATTTCATTGTTTTTCAGCGTCATTCTCAGGCTTGCCTCTTTTTTGTCTTTCTCTTCTATATTTGGTGCTGCTTCCTTTTCTGTCCCAAACTAAAACCACTGTGTGTGTATGTGTGTGTGTGTTTAAGTAAATATAGGGAAAAAATACAAAACCAAAGCAGAAAAAAAACAAATCAAGACAAAATCCCCACAGGAGTGAATGCAGTGTTTAGAATTTAAGAGCAGTCCTGGAGGATCAGATCAAAGACCCATCTAGTCCAGCATCACAGTGGCCAGCCAGAAGAGGAAGTTCACAAGCAGGACCTAACTGAGATTGATGTTAGAACGTTTATACCCACAAAGCCCTGTAAAGCAGAAGAGTTTGGCCAGGAGACTTGTCAGAAGACCAGGAGAGAGAGTGGGTCTCTTGCAGGAGGAAATTCTACAATCTGAGCGTGTCACCCAAAAGACCCTGTCATGTGCAGCCACCTGCCTGTTCATGAAGGTAGGATGCCTTAAGAGAGAACATACATCCCTTCAGAATAAGTCAGTCTTTGGGTCTTCTTAAAAGACACCTCTGCCTGCTCTCAGAGAGAAATTTTAGCACTGAAATGGAGGAGAGGAGGGGTGCTGCCTTTTACCCTTAAAAAGCAGGCTGAGGACTTTTATCTCTGAACTTAGTTGTTGTTGTTGTTGTTTAGTCATTTAGTCGTGTCCGACTCTTCGTGACCCCATGGACCAGAGCACGCCAGGCACTCCTGTCTTCCACTGCCTCCCGCAGTTTGGTCAGACTCATGTTTGTAGCTTCGAGAACACTGTCCAACCATCTCGTCTTCTGTCGTCCCCTTCTCCTTGTGCCCTCCATCTTTCCCAGCATCAGGGTCTTTTCCAGGGAGTCTTCTCTTCTTATGAGGTGGCCAAAGTATTGGAGCCTCAGCTTCAGGATCTGTCCTTCCAGTTAGCAGTCAGGGTTGATTTCCTTCAGAATGGATAGGTTTGATCTTCTTGCAGTCCATGGGACTCTCAAGAGTCTCCTCCAGCACCATAATTCAAAAGCATCAATTCTTCGGCGATCAGCCTTCTTTATGGTTCAGCTCTCACTTAGTTAGCAGGTGCTTAATGCTAAGAGCAGAGAGAGAGAGAGAAAGCCTTCTGCCTGCTCTTTAGAGATGACGCCCCCTGATCTGTAGCGTTCTGTCCTCCCAGTGCTTCAGAACAGCTCCAACCCCGGACATCGGGGCCAACCTGACCTGGATCCAAACTGAATAAGGCCTTGCACAGGGTTTAAAATCCTAATTGAACATGCATGCACATGTATCCACCCCCCTCCCAGCCAAATGCTTCATTAGGGTGTTTTTAAACACAGAGGCTACGCAAGCATTGGGATTCCACCTGAACCAATGGGAGATAACTTGGCGCCTCTTCTCCACCCCAGTGCAAGGCATGTCAGGAGCACAGGCCACCTGATTTGTGGGCAGTGGGTTCTGCCAAGAAGAACAATGTGGAAGGTAGTGTTAACTTTTGTAACAGTAGGCGTGGCTTCAGAGGACACTCATTGGCAAAACACTACAGTTCCCATTACACATGGGAATTCTGGAGGCAGAGGGGAGAGGAAGGCAGAGAAGGATGTGGTGGCAGCCGTGACTGAGACCATGAGCTGGGTCCAAACAATCAGAGCAATAACTTCTCCACTGGTACTGCCTGACTGCCTCCACCCCTGAGACAACTATGGGTCACTCTGTGTGGACCAGTTCAACCCTGGGAGATCTGGGGCTGCTTCAGGTCACTGGCCTGAAAGGACCTGCATGGGTTTCGGATTTGGTTAGCCCTCTTTATCTCCCCCCATCAGAAGATTAAGTGCTCTGTCTGTTCCTCTGAGTCTCTCTCTGCTTTATCTCCCGATCAGATCAGGACCTGGCAGGCATCTTCCTGTAGCTTGGCAGGCCAGGTGTGGCCTACGGGTTAGCCAGCTCTGCCTTCTGATATTCTAGTCCCAGGCCATTTAAGATTCTAAAGTGGGGTGTGTGTGTGTGTAACCATTTTGGCTCCATGGGCCAGATCCTTATCAGGCTCAGTAAACTGGGTGGTGGAGAAGGAACTGGCAACCCACTCCATTATTTTGCCATGAAAACGCCATGGACATAAAAAAGGAGAAGCTTTGAGAAGAAAGTGAATGTTTCCAAGGCATGCTCTGATTCATGGGGTCATGGAGAGTCGGACACGACTAAGATGACTAAGCAACAACAAAGTGGGTGGAAGCTGTTTGAAAGCCACAGGAAGATGCCTACCAGCTGGTTCCTCCCACCATTCCTCTGTGTCCAACCAGCCCGTGACACCAAACTACACCCAGTGGAGGCTGTCTTTAGCAAGATGTGCTGGGAGAAGAGGAGGAGAAAAGGATGGGATCCATCTTGGGCAGGCTGGCTAGGAGTGATACCTTTGACTCCAGTGTTGCACTGCTGTAGGGAAAAAGCCCTGCTTGAGGTGACAACGCTGTAAGATCTGGACTCCCTCCCTCCATGCAGACTGAAAGTGTAAATAGATGAATAAACCTTATTTCTTAAAGCTACGACAGTCTCCGCCATGTCTTCAATTCTCTAAAGGAGCACAAATCCTGGGTGAGCACCTGGAACTCCTTTAAATCTTGCTCCTGCTTGGCTGGGAGCTGGAGCGGTATCCAACATTGGTAACAATATGAAAAACCCCTCCAAAATGGAACCAAGCAATATAACTTCTGCAAAGGAGGTGGGTCACAATGTAGCAGGGAGGAAGTCCCACGGAACATAATAGAACTTCTGAGAGGACATTTATTTATTTATTTATTTATTACACTAGTCTCCCACCTCTACTCCGAGGAGTCCAAGGTGGAGTATATGGTTCTTCTCCACTCCATTTTATCCTCACAACATGTGAGGTAGGGTTAGGCTGAGAGTGGTGACTGGCCCAGGCCACCCAGAGAACTGAATGGGCATTTGAACCTTGGTCTCCCAGATCCTGGTCCAACGCTCTAACCACTGCACAGCACTGTCTCTCACACTGGACATGCATAACTTTGCATTCTAAGAGTGTTTGATTTAGGGCGGCTCATGCTCTAAGTTTTTCTCTCCCAAAGACGAAGAAGGGGAAACAAAACATCATTTGAAGTTTGGTCTGCCCACCCATATTTAATGATGTTGTTCCATTTTTGCATTTATAACAACAATGACAAAACAACCTATAAAACCCACACAGTAGACCCAAAACTACTTTAGTTCTTCTGTTTTATTTAGATCAGTCCCCTGCCCTTCAACAGCTTACCGAAACGTTAAAATTACAACAATACAACAAAACTTGAAATAAAATAAAATAAAATGGCATGAGTCTAAGCAATCCTTTGAAAAAGAAAAATGTGTAACGTTAGAGAAAACTGCTTTGCAAAAATGTGTGTATTTGGGGGAAATATGCAAAAAAAATGTGCATATTGGGAGAAATTCACACTAAAATACTAGTGTATGTTCATGATAACTCCCCCTCCCCCCCAAAAAAAAAGCCTGATCTGGAAGTGTGGGGAACTGAAGTCTGGAAAAATGAGAAACTGAGAGAAACCAAAATGGACATATCCACCCATCCCTAGTACCCCCTTTAAGAAGGACCATGGCTCATTGGATAATGAGGATGCTTTGCATGCAAAAGGTCCCAGGTTCAGCTCTGCTTCCTTCAAATAGGGCTGCAAAAGACCCTGCAAGGAGACAACACTGAGCTAGTATCTTGCTTGGTATAAGGCAGCTTCCTAAGTGCCCTTGATTTTGCCCTCAAAGCTCTCCACTGTTATCCCCAGACATCTCCCTGCCCTGGATCTATGTTCCTCCATGGGGCTACCACCTCAAACCGCCCAACTGTCTCCTGCTTGCTTATAAAGACACCACGCCTTCACCCAGGTTACCCCTTCAACACGAAATGCCTTCCTTGAACACCGCTTTCTGTCTCAGGTGCATAGGAAGCTGCCTTATGCTGAATCAGACCCTAAGTTTATCTAGCTCAGATTTCACTAAACTGCCCCTCCGGGTTTCAGGCTATAGCTCAATGGGGAAAGCATATGCATGAAGAAAGTCCCAAGTTATATCCTGGTGGCTCCAGGCAGAGCAGGGCATGTCCCCTGCCTGGAGCCCTGGAGAGCTGCTGCCAGTCAGTACTGACAATATTGAACTAGATGGTCCGACTCTGTACAAGGCAGCTTCCTCCGTTCCTTCTTATTCTCTTCAGTTTGGGTCTTGGGCACACTGGCTGCTTGCTTTTGTTCAGCCAGCATGAACTGCCGGAGTTGGGTCTAGTTAGCTTGTCTAGAATAACTGTTTTTGAAGAGTCATGTTTCTGGATGAAGAGCTGGTCTGCATAGCTGTGCTTGAACAGATAAAGAACGAAGGAGTCACAGTAAGTAACAACAGTGCGGCCACCGCTATGGAGACTGACCTCATTTTCTCCCCTGGCCCTCATTAGATCATCTCTGTGCTTGTCAAACTCTCCTCGTTCCCGTTTGTGTTTGGTGCCTCTTTCACAGTTTCCGTCCTCTCTGAAGGGCTCATCTGTTCAAACAGTCTAGATAGCCTGGTAAACCTCACGCTGCTTTGGAAGTTCCTGGCAGCAAAGGCGTAAAGGAGAGGGTTGATGCAGCTGCTCACGAAGACAAGCGAGCCTGTGATGTTGGCCCCCACTGCTGAAATCTTCTCCAGAGCTTCAGATGTCCCTGGATAGGACTCCTCCATCAGAGCTGAAGCAATACTTATCAAGTTAAAGATGTGATGGGGCAGCCAGCAGAGACAAAAGGCCACAACTATTGAAGCGATCAGCTTTGCAGAGCGTTGCTTTGATGGAGAAGTCATGTTTCTGATTCTTCTGCCGACCAGCACATAACAGATGGAGATGAAGGCAAAGGGCACGACAAAGCCCACAAGAGTCTCCAGCAAGAGACAGGCAATCATTTGAGCATTACTATCATAACTGAAATCTGCGCACTGAAGACCTGCCTCTGTGTTGTTGGTTTCCCGAAACGGGATGATGACGGCTCCAAAGGCAATGGCGAGGAACCATATGGCAAAGACCAACATCCTGGTGGTCATCTTCTTCTTCCAGCATTGGACAGCAAAGGGGTAAAAGACAGCCATGAACCGCTCAAAGCTCAAGGCCATGATCAGGAAGATGCTTGCGTACATGCTGAAATAAACGACGAATGTCAGGGCTTTGCAAGCAACGAGCCCAAAGAGCCAGGTGTTGGCGAAGGAGTAGATCCAGATTGGCAAGGTGACAAGAACCAGGAGGTCAGCGATGGCCAGATGTAGGATCAGCATGACCGTCGGAGGCCTTTGGGCCATTCTGCCACAGATGGTCCAAATGACAAAGGAGTTCCCAGGGATCCCGACGATGAATGACAAACTCAGCACTGTGCAAACCAAATGCCTTGCAATGGACAAAGGCAGGAGATCATTGCTTTCTTCAGAGGGATCCATTTTGACTGGAGCTTTGGCTGAGCTTCTGCTAGTGGCTGCAGCTTCTATGTTCTGCAGTGAATGCCCGCTATTTGCTTCTGACCCTCCAAAGGCTGTCTGAATCAGACTGGAACATGACCACAAAAGATAGCTTCTGCCTAGACAGATAATGGTTTCATATCCTATTTTTTTCTGCTGAGCTTTTTCCGTTTACATATTGAGAAATTGTCCACATTGGGTGTGTGGGTGTGTCACCAAAACCCAAGCAAAGCATGGCTATAGTTAAAAAGAAGTGGAAGCATGATCGTATTTACTTGCTTCTCTTAAGCATGTAGGCAGATACCAGTTTTCTTCTGGAGAGCTGGTAAAACCAGACTTGATGTAGGAGGACCTTCCCCCCCCATTAATTGTTTTTATCACAAATTTTAAAAAGAAGGAAAGAAGAAGAAAATAACTATCAGCTCTCGTTATGGGTACAATAATATTCATCTTACAAATTCATCATTGTGAATCCAATATATTCATCTAAATGTAAACATATAAAGCACTCAAATCTCCAGAGAGGTATCCACTCGAGACTGATGTTAATAAGAAATATGTTAAGAGGGTAGTAAGGTCCTCAGACCATTCACTGGGTGGGCATTTATCCTTCGAGGCCTGAAGCATAAGTTCCTTAGCAACCACAAGGGTTCATAAAATCCACTTTTGTTGTCCTGCCATTAATCCTCATGCTAGAGGGATACAGTTTAAAAGGACATGAACATCTGCAAATGTCAAGGATTTCTCCAGTACAAAATTTATAAGGACACCAGCTTCAGACCAAAAAGACTATATTATTGAACATGCCCGCAACAAGGGATTATCAGCATTACACCCTCAGCATCTCTCTCTATTAAATAGTGCCTTCCCTGGAAACATTAATTTTTTTCCGGATCAGTCTCAATTTTAAATCTCAATTTTTTTTTGCAAATGCAATCGGAAGATATATAAAGAAATAGCACAAAGCGCATATATTATCCATGGCAAAATATTCATCTTAGGTGGTCTGTCCCCAATTACTAAATCTATGTGATGCTTAGCTTTCCAAATTACCGGAAATCTCCATTATCAACCTATTTTAGCTCATTTCAGTCATTTGTGAAATATCTTTTGGAACCGAAATGCCTAGGTATGCTATGACATTGTGGGCCCCAACAAAATCACCACTGTATGAAATCTTGCCTGACTCCTGGAGAACCCAGAAGCTTGCCACACTTTTGTGGCATTTTGGTTGGTCCCAATAAACAAATATTTCGAAACAGCAGATTTCGTTATGTGTTGAATGGATGTGTGCTTCCACCTAGTGGCTCACTCTGAACCTAACAGCTACACTTAACTGATAATTAACTATGCATCATCGAAGTGGCAGTCATTTTCTTTCTTTCTTTCTTTCTTTCTTTCTTTCTTTCTTTCTTTCTTTCTTTCTTTCTGTTGTAATACTCATTTATTACAGTCAGATAAATGGCCATGATAAAATTAGGAAAATGGTGAAACTACTGAGCCATAGAAAACTGAGGAAAATTTATCTAGTACAGTATTGCGACAGAAGCAGTTTGTATGAAAACGTGGATTCACAGAGGTTGCTACTGTAAAAACAGAATTGATAAGACGTGCCCTTTCTCCAAAAGTTCCTTTTCTAAAAATCCTTTCTAGCTGATTTTCTTTATACAGTGGTACCTCGGGTTAAGTACTTAATTCGTTCTGGAGGTCCGTTCTTAACCTGAAACTGTTCTTAACCTGAAGCACCACTTTAGCTAATGGGGCCTCCTGCTGCCACCGCGCCGCCGGAGCACGATTTCTGCTCTTATCCTGAAGCAAAGTTCTTAACCTGAAGCACTATTTCTGGGTTAGCGGAGTCTGTAACCTGAAGCATATGTAACCTGAGGTATCACTGTACATCCAAACTAAGTACAGATGGACGTACAGTGGTACCTTGGGTTACATACGCTTCAGGTTACAGACTCCGCTAACCCAGAAATAATACCTCGGGTTAAGAACTTTGCTTCAGGATGAGAACAGAAATCATGCTCCGGCGGTGTGGCGGCAGCGGGAGGCCCCATTAGCTAAAGTGGTGCTTCTGGGTTAGCGGAGTCTGTAACCTGAAGCGTATGTAACCTGAAGCATATGTAACCCGAGGTACCACTGTATAAGATTTTGGATTGTTATTGCTCCTGAGCCTCACTGGGGGATTTAAGACTAGGAACAGAAGTTGCTATGTGGACTAGAGTCAGGGTTGGATTAAGACCTTTGGACAGAGCTGCAGCTACAGAGGGGGAGGGGGGCTAGCTGGTTTTTTTTGCCCTGGGTGAAGCCTTCCGAGGGACATCATTGAGGCTCCCAGACTATATGTGTGTGCATGCAAATGTGTGCACAGGTTTGTGTGCCAAAGTGGGTCTTTGACCCGGGTGAAATAAAGCCTAGTTTCGCCCCTGCCTTGGATGCCCTTAGCACTTAAAAGTGCTCGGTCTTCTTTTTTTTAAAAATATTTTTTATTGAGTTTCTTTTCTTAGGGTCATAGACACAAAGTTAAAGCAAGAAAATACAAGAAACAAAAACAAAGAAAAATGATATAAAGATTATTACAATCCAACTTTCAATAGTTTTTCCAATATTCCAAATGGACTTCCCCACATCCTCACGACTCTGCGTTCTTTGCAATAAAAGTTTCAGCAATTTGTTACCTTGTTTCTTAACTTACTGTATCTTTCAGTTATTATGTTTCTAATTTCACAATATTGTATCCCAACTTTGTACATTTAAAGTTAACATAATAAAGTTGTTTCATATTTACCACCTCTTTTTTCCTGTCTTAATTTTCAGTTTACCTAATCGAGTTGCTAAAAGCAAAAGTTTCCTAATCGTGCGTATTTCTTAACATTCATACAACTTATAATGTTTTTGCAAATAGTCCTTAAATTTTTTCCAGTCCTCTTCCATTGTTTCCTCCCCCAAATCTCGGATTCTGCCAGTCATTTCAGCCAGTTCCATGTAGTCCATCAACTGCGTCTGCCACTCCTCCAGCGTGGGTAAATCTTGAGTCTTCCAGTGCTTTGCAATAAGGATTCTTGCTGCTGTGGTAGCATACATAAACAAGGTTCTATCCTTCTTTGACACCTTCTGGTCCACCATGCCCAATAGGAAGGCCTCTGGTTTCTTGGGAAAGGTATACCTAAATACCTTTTTTAACTCGTTGTAAATCATTTCCCAGTAGGCCTTCACTTTTGGGCAGGTCCACCAGAGATGGAAGAATGTCCCTTCTGCCTCCTTACATTTCCAACATTTATTATCAGACAGGTGATATATCTTAGCAAGCTTGACTGGGGTCATGTACCACCGGTATATCATTTTCATAATGTTTTCCTTCAAGGCATTACATGCTGTGAACTTCATTCCGGTGTTCCATAACCTTTCCCAGTCTTCAAACATAATGTTGTGTCCAATATCCTGTGCCCATTTTATCATGGCAGATTTGACTGTCTCGTCCTGTGTATTCCATTTAAGCAGCAAGTTATACATTTTCGAAAGTGTCTTAGTTTTTGGTTCTAACAATTACGTCTCTAATTTCAATTTTTCCACCTGGAAACCAACTTTTTTATCCATTTTAAAAACCTCTTGGATTTGAGCATAATGTAACCAATCCTGCACCTTATTTTTTAATTTGTCTTGGCTCTGCAGCCTCCAATTGTCTCCAATTTTTTCAATTATTTCCCAGTATTTTGGCCAGTAGGCCTCCATGTTGGGTCTTTTCCTGGCCTTGGCCTCCACCGGTGATAGCCACCTCGGGGTCTTACCCTCCAGTAAGTCTTTATATTTCAACCAGACCGCAAAAATTGCTCTTCTGACAATATGGTTTTTAAATAATTTATGAGCTTTAACCTTGTCGTACCACAAATATGCATGCCAGCCAAAAGCATTATCAAACCCTTCCAGATCCAGGACATCAGTGTTCTCCAACAGAAACCAATCCTTCAGCCAGCAGAAGGCTGCGGATTCATAATACAACCTCAGGTCCGGCAGGGCAAACCCCCTCTTTCTTTCGAATCAGTTAATATTTTAAACTTTATTCGGGGCTTTTTGCCCTGCCAGACGAACTTAGATATATCCTTCTGCCACTTTCCAAAACATTCCACTCTGTCCACGATCTGTAGGGCCTGAAACAAAAATAGCATTTTCGGCAATACATTCATCTTTATAGCTGCAATTCTGCCCAACAAGGAAAGTTTCAATCTTGACCAAATTTCCAAATCCTTCTTAATTTCCAACCAGCATTTTTCATAATTGTCTTTAAATAAATTCAAATTTTTCGCAGTCACATAAACCCCTAGGTATTTCACTTTTTTAACGACATTTAATTCTGTTTCTTTCTGGAACCCCTCTGTTTCTGTAGGTGTCAAATTTTTGGCCAAAACCTTGGTCTTTTGCTTGTTCAGCTTAAATCCCGCCACCCGACCAAATTCATGAATCAGTTCTAAAACTCTTTTTGTACTAGATACTGGCTCCTGTAGTGTTAAGACTAAATCGTCTGCAAAAGCTTTCAATTTATATTGTTTCACTCCGACCTCTATTCCTTGTACCAACCGGTCCTCCCTGATCATGTTCAACAGAACCTCCAGGACTGAGATAAATAAAAGAGGAGATAGAGGGCACCCCTGTCGTGTCCCTTTTTCAATTTTAAACTCCTCTGTCACCACATTGTTCACTATCAATTTAGCTTTTTGCTCTGTGTAAATTGCTTGTATTCCATTTTCGAACCCCCGTCCCACTCCCATCCCTTCCAAATTTTTCTTCATAAACATCCAAGAAATATTGTCAAAGGCTTTCTCTGCATCGATAAAAATTAACACCGCTCTCCTATTGATATTTGTTTGTAAAAGTTCCAAAATATCAATAATGTTCCTGGTGTTATCAAACAAATGTCTACCTGGGAGAAAGCCAGCCTGGTCCTTGTGAATTACTTCATTCAAAACTTTTTAAAGTCTACTTGCCAGAATGTCTGCAAAGATTTTGTAATCCACATTTAGGAGTGAGATGGGACGGTAGT